CCAGGAGGTGCCGTCTCCCCTCCAGAGATCCTGGGAGATTCCGTAACTAGTAACGCATGTGTGGAAAACCCATCCGCTGGAGGGTACAGACTGTTCAGCTTTTACCTTGCCTCCTGTGCTTTGCAAGGGTATTCGGGTGTGCCAAGGTCCTCAGGTGGTCACAGCCACAGCCCCTGCCCTGGGGGATTTCAGTTGGGCAGTTGTTTGGATAGGACTCCGCTCCGTCCGTATTTTTACATCTGCTGCATATGAATTGCAAGAAGAAGAAATGGCCTGTGTTAGAGCTAGGTGTGTGCAGTGCGGGCAGGGTTTGAAAGCTCTCTGTGCTTCTGCATCTGATAGAATTCTCTCAGTATCTTCAGTATGCTCGCTGCTACCTAGTGGGACTTCTAAAAGTGTGTAGTGACTTACACGCACTTTGTGTACTCATCCCTTTCAAAAAAACCTGTCCTATTTTGTTCCTCAAAATCAAGTATAAGAGGGGCAGCACAACATGTAACAAATTTCAATAATCTGCCCCTCCTGCACCGCTCTTTCCAACTCCCATCGCATCCTTTTAGCTGCTCCCTGATGAGTGGCACGAGTATGGATCATGTCAGTGATGCTGCATAAACAGTAAACCCTTTGTAAAGGCTTTAGAGGCTGGAGTGACTCTTGTATGAGATGGATGAATTTCCCCCTGAGGGGAAAGGGCAAGTGTGTCTGCTCCAAGAGAGGGGTGCTGTAGAATCAGAGAATAGGCATCACGTAGAATTCGACAAGAGGCATCAAAGAGGAGCTGCCAGAGCTGCCAGACCAGGTCAGACCAGCGCTGTAGCTAACTCTGGGATCTCGTCCGTAGTGATGAGATCCAGGTGCTGCAGAACGCAGCGTGAATAACTGGCAGGGAACACAAAAGTGACGGTCCTGGTCTCTAGTAATTGGAGATCTGATATCCCGGATTGCCTGTAATTGTCTGCTTTCCTCTGGATCTTGCCAAATTTTTGGACTTATGGGATTCCTGTGGTATTATTTCTGCAGATTTGTTGTGTGAAACAAGCTTTCCCATCTGCTTTTTTTTTAATTTCCTGCCTTTACGTACAACTGAGTATTCCTCTGTCCTTCTAACAACCTTTTATCCTCTTCTCTTCTCTCAGGGGGAGGCAGCTGTAAGTGGGAGCTGTCTTGGCCTCCTCAGAGTGCAGTCTGAGAGGGCTAAGGCTGAATTCCCAGGCAGCGAGGTTCAGGGAATGTGTGTCTGCAGGGAGGGGGGATGCTACCAGGGCAGCTGCTGGGAGGGCTGGGAAGCAGGGGAAGATGCCAGCTGAAGTGGTATTGAGAAGAGCTCAGTTCAGCAGTGCAAAGGAGCAAAATAGCAGAAATCATTGGGCTGAGTTGTCACCTTTCATTCCTGACACATATCCCAGCTGAGCAGCTTCAGTTGCAGCATGATACTGTGGAATATCTGTCTGTGGGGATGTTCAGAAATCATCTGGATGTGGTCCCCAGCAGCCTGATCTGACTTTGGACTTAGCCCTTCTTTGGACGAACCAGATTGAACTCTTCCGTTGGACATTGTTCTGTGATTTTGTGTACCTACTCTCGTGGTCGGGACCTTCTGCTATTGCTCCATCTACATCCTGAATTACACATGTGTGCACGTGTCCTGGTTTCGGAGGGGAGGCCTTAATGCAATTTTTTAATCTTCATGTACATACTGAAATACACTGCATTTAGGACTATCAGCATTCCATCGCGCACACATCTTCAGAAAGTACACCTTGGCTTCTGCCCTTGCTCGGCCCCGTCTACATATTGAACGGATTTTGAGCAAGTAGGAGATCTCTTGGACATTCTTTCTTCCTCTCCCGACCACAAGCCTGAAGTGGAGTCTTTCAGACTGAAGAAATAGGGTTTGCCCACAGCTTGAGATCATGTGTCTGTAGCGACGTGTACATAGCAACACACCTCCAGAAAAACAGACTTCTCTGTGTCATCTTTGAGAGGTGGCGTAGGAGACATGCTTGGCTGAGGCATGAACTTTGCCTGCCTTGGAAGGCACTAGAGGGTTGTTGACTCAGCGAGCTCGCGGTGGACGCTGACAGTCAGTGATTTCGTTACCAGCCATGGAGCACACGCTGCGATGCCCGTCCCGCTTCGTTTGGTAGAAGCACGCAGCGCGTTCTCTGCGCTTGTCAAAATCTCATTCGTTGCAGATTTCGTGGCTCACGTGGCAGTAACAGGACAGGCCTACCAAGGCTTGCGTGTTGACATCAGGATCTGGCTCCCAGTTCGTTCTCCTCCTCTGCTGAGCTCGTTTCCCCCTCGTTTGCAGCTCTGGGCCCCTCTCCCACGCCGTGAGCCAGCGTGCCGGATACGCCGCTGCTGGCCCTCTCGCTCAGCCTCCTGCAGCTGCGCTGGCACCAGGGTCCCGGAGCAGGAAGGATGCTGCCGGCCGACGGCGCTGCTCGTGCCGTGTTTTTCCAGAGCCGTGTCGCTATGCGTAAAGTTGCTATGTACGCGTGGTCTCAGGCTGCAGGCAAACCCTGCTCATCCAGTCTTAAGGACGCTGCTTGGGGCTTTTGGTCAGGAAGGGGGCAGAGAAGATGCCAAAGGGCTTGCCCGCTCCTTCCGGAGGTGGCTGACGGCGGGGGCTGTGCGCACGCGGCAGGATCTCCCGCCGCCCTGGGTTAGGCGCTGTGCCCGTGTTGTCCCCCCGTCACCCTGCGTGCGGGCTCGCTCGTGCGCCAGGTGAAGACATCTGCGAGGTTTGTGGCATTTGGCAGCAGGGTTTGTGGGGAAAGAGCCAGTGGGGCTCCAGTTCACCTCAAACCCTGTAAACAGAGGTGTTAATAGCGTTTAAATCACTTGAAATGAGAGTTAATTGTCCAAGCATGGTTCGGGTAACCAGAGAGCAAAGTTTTCCCGGGAGGAGCTGGCGCGTGTCAGGCAGCGGCCAGGGCAGAGGAGCAGGCAGGAGAACAGCCTTTCACCAGGACCTCACCAGGAGATTTCCCAGCTCTGCGCGCAGCTCTGGTGCGTGACTGAGCAAGTGGAAGAGAGCGCAGCTGGGTCTAGGCTACTGGCTGCTTTTCCGGTGTCTTATCTTTATTTTATAGCCAACTGTCTGAATAAGGGTTCTCGGTACGTAAAAGCCCCAGACGGAAAGGTAGGCACGTGTTTATGGTCTGTGGGCTCAGGACATGCTGTAGCTGCCGTACGGATGCTGCAGACGTGGCCAGCGAGTCCCGTGCGCTCCACGTGCATCCAGCTTGTGGTGCCTTGGGGTCAGGGCTGATGGATGGTGGAGGTGCTGGGTCTGTCTGCAGAGCCAGCTTGCGTGTGCCTCTGTCTGTTTGTCCAGGCGTTTCCAGCATTTGGAGATCCTATACCAGTCTCTGGCTTTTTTTTTTTTTTTTTTTTTTCTCTCTCCCTCGTCAAAGCTTCGATCGGGAACAACACAGCAGGCAGGGGAGAAACCCCGCAAAGTGAAGAGCAGAGACGGAAAGCTCAGGTGCAGTTCTGTGGCCCTTCCTTACAGAAGCCCTGGTTCCTGCTCGAGCTTGGGTGAATACGTCGTGCCTGGGTGAGCAGGGAGCTTGGGTCGGGCGTCCCAGCCTGCAGTCTCGTGCTGCTGCTGCGAAGGCTGGCGTTTGCTGAGGCGAAGCCTTTGGCGAGAGTGGTTCGAGGCGTTCCCCGCTGCTCCCCTAACTGTGCTGGTGGAGCAGAGCCAGCCCTGTGCCGCGCTGCGGGAGAGGAGACGGGTTGCAGGGGAGGGTGAGAGCGCCCTAAACCCAGTGATGCCAGCGGAGGCTTCGCCTCGCGAAACCGCAGTGTTCCTCATGCACGCACGTGCTGTGGATGATGGCAGCAGCCCGTTAGCGAGTGCTGAACGGGAGCAAGATGGGGGGGGCTGCTCGGGTGGGCATGCCTTGCCCCGGGTCGCGTGGCTGGGGGGTTGTGAGCAGTCCCTCGGGCGGTGGGGTCAGAGGCTGCAACTGGCTGAAAGCCACAAGGGCACCTCTTCGCTCTCAGAGACAGAGACGTGTAGAAGAAAGATAAATGAGGGCCTTACAAGCTTTGTGGCCATTGCAGAAGAAATTACAGGCTTCAGTATAAATATATATATAGCCAGTCAAGTGGTTTCTGTGTGTTTGGACTGTAGACGTATGAAAAGGAAGGCTTTAGCCCAGCCAAACTGAATTCCCTGTACAGGGAATTCCTGTAAGATCCGCGACTTTACACCCCAAAGCTGTGCGTCTGTAATCGTTAAGCACACACATAGGAAGCTGTCCAGGCAGACGTATCACTTACTCTCCTGCCTACACTGTCTGCATTTTGGTTTTGATATTACTGAAAGCTTCAGTAAGAAATGCTTTTTGTCATGTCAGATGTTACAAGTTGTCTGTGCCAGTTTCCAGTTCGGAGTGTGGGTTTGCGTGGCTGGTGCCTTCCCAGGAGCTGGAAGGAGGAACATACCAGGGCTGGAAATTCCTGGCAAACGCGAGGATCTGTAAAACCGCCCACTGGTGAGCTGTGACGGTGCGACAGACTGATGGCCTTGGCTGACTTCTCTTGCTGAAGCAGAAAAAGGCCGTGTGGAGCTGCAGATGCTTTCCCTGGTTACTAATGAGAGAAAATCCTGACTGCTTGCCTGGTTTTCCTCACACGGTGAATGCTCCGTGGTGGTGGTGGTTTGTTTTCTTTTTTTTTTTCCTACCCCGCAGTCTGAGTAGCTTAATTTTTTTGAGAGTGTCCCCCTTCTTGGTAAAATACTAGTTTCGGCAATAAATGCTTATTTGGGAGAGGGTCCGAGGTCGGGGGCGGATTTGAGAGCGAGCGGTTGAACGCTGCCAAATCCCGGGAGGTCCGCGACGCGGCG